AGAGGAAGACTGACCCCAGAGGAAGACTGACCCCAGAGGAAACGAGTGGTCCGTTTGTTTTGAAATGATTCTCCTAAGTCATGTTGGCTAACAAATAAATCTGCCCGGATACAGACCCGTCATCAGTCATGACATCATCACTGAACGACAGAAGACGTAAAGAATAAGAACTACACATCTTATATTATTATGGGATGGCTCCAGGTGAACGACATGTTTGTTTGTTACCATTAAGTCCAGACAAAGTCACATGACCTGGACTGTGGTCCAACTGAACTGTTCACAGACGGAGAGGAGAAACGATCTACATCAAAAACCTCAAACCGGAGCTGATGCCAAGCTGGCTCTGATCCAGGACCAAAATAGTCCTGATGTATGGAGCAGCCTATAGGAGGACAGCTGACGGCGTGCAGCGGGATCGTGCTGACACACTGAAATGACGCCTGCCAAGGACTCCGCGTCCGTCCAAGTTTGAATCGATGTGTCTGTAGGAAGGCCAGAAGAACGGAGGACAGAGGAGACGCTGATGAAGGAGACGAGACCAGGGGGAGACGCGGGGGGAGAAGACGAAAACGTTAGAGACGGATGGTCAATTAAAAAGGAAGAGAAGAAGAAACGAAGGAAGGACGTCCACCTCGGACAGGACGACGATGATTCACTGAACGACGTGGAATAAAGAGGTGAAAATAACGAGCGCAGTGACATCATGGACGTGTGGAGATGTCCACAGGTCTGAGATCAGTCTGAACCCAGTGACTCCCAGAGGAAACAGGAGGTAGAGGACGGTCTGAGGTGAATGTCAAAGTGACGGTGAGAGGACACACGCAGTCCAGATAGTAAATATTATATATCAACATATGTGAAGAAGAAGAAGAAGAAGAAGAAGAAGTCGATAACATCTACAACTGTCTGCTGCCTGATTGGCTCGTGCCTCCCAAACCCAAACGGTCGACACACTCCCCCACAAACACACACACTCCCCCACAAACACACACACTCTGCCTGGCACAAAAAAGCTGAGCGATGGCTCTGATTGGCCGGTTCAGGCTGTGTCTTCTATACATTACTGCCTATGTGAGACACAGGTGCTGAGGGAAGGCTGTTGGTTTCCATGGCAACACCGTCTAGAGGGTGGGGACAAGTTATGGTGTCATGACGTGAGGAGACTTTAAATTGGGGGGGGGGGGGGGGGCTACATATGTGACTCCATGTGAACACAGAGGGAGGGGCGGGACAGAGGGTGTCTGAGGTGAGCCGTGTCCATTTGTCCTCCCCTCCTACATGTTTGTCTCCCACCTGTTCTTCTCTCTCTTCCTCACCCTTTACCTCCCCTCCAATTTACACCACAGTTACACCAGGAAAAAAACACACATGGTTTGGTCTGATGATGTGTTGTCGCAATAGCAATCCTGCCCCCCCTACTGGACTACAAATGTAAAAGCCTGTGTTTGGTTGGAGGTAAATCAGAGGGGCAGGTGGAGGGGCAGGTGGAGGGGCAGGTGGAGGGGCAGGTGGAGGTGTGAGAACTTCTCCAGACGTTCTCCTAGGAACTGGAACCAACAACCAAACAACCATTTACACTGGTTACAGAGCAGTTACTGTGGTAAACTCAGAGAGAGCAGCGCCCCCACCTGGTTTATAATCTCACCACCACTCCTGTCATAAACAGCTGCAGTTCCCACCCCCGTCCACCTTAAGGTCCC